CATGTGTGCGTGTGTGTGCATGCATGTGTATATGTGCACATGAACACACACGTTTGCTTTACTCAGTTTTATCGCTTTCCACTTTTTTCTTTAGAAAACCTTTAAATCACTTGGTGCCAGGAATTACGTATTCTGTTTTAAAGGCCCTGTGCCTCACAGGCACATGAGAGCCATTCATTGCTTTCAGGTGTGATTCCACGTATCAACCGCTAGGGGCGCAGGTCGCCCCAGAACATCCTGATGTTTCCACAGACGACAAAGCTCAGGCAACCAAGTCATCAGCCAGGCCCGGCTTCCCCAGTCCTCACAGGGCAGGTTTCTCTTGTGCACCACCCGTCTGCACGGCGCATTGCCAGCGGCGACCACAGCTGCTTCCTCAGAGATCTCCGCTTTCCCCTAGGCCTCGTACCCCTTTCCTCACCCGCCCCCCCTTGGCGGAAGGCAGCCCAGCACAAGGACATGACAGACGTGCAGGTCAGCCTTCCGCCATCGGGGCCTCGGGGTGGCTGTGCTGGGGCCGTGGGCGAGCCCCAAGCCCCCCAGCCCTTCCGTGGAGGCCTGGACAGCGTGAGTGGGTGTTGACCTGTTGTGAGCTCGTCTCTCCAGGCCAGACTGGCACTTGCAAGTCTCCCCACCGCAGCGCCCGCCCTCCTGCACCAGAACGAGGGCTGTCACCAGCACAGCAGGGCTGTTGTCGCTCCTGAACTGCTGAGGCGTCAAGACAAGACTGGACTGCCCATGAGGTACCATGGCTACTTCCACCGAGCGATGCGGTTTGCGAGAGGAGAAAGAGGATCCTGGGTGGTGAAGGGCTCTGCACGCCATCTTCAGAAAGACTGAACAGGAGCAGAAGGGAAATCTGTAAGACCGCGCGTAACGGGCAATGAATCACGGTTATTTTGGGGGCGAAATCATGGTAAAATATTTAAAACGGAAGCTCACAGGGAGCCTGGAGATCTTCTAAAACATTTTGTTAAAAACCAAAATAATGCCATTTGCAGCAACATGGATGGACCTAGAGATCATCATTCTAAGTGAAGAAAGCCAGACAGAGAAAGGAAAGTATCATATGATGTCATTTATATGTGGGACCTTAAAAACATGACATAAGTGAACTTATTTACAAAACAGAAACAGATTCACAGACACAGAGAGCAAACTGTGGTTCCCGGGAAAGGTGGTGGGGAGGGATAAACTGGGAGCTTGGGATTTGCAGATACTAACTACTATCCATAGAATGGATAAACAGCAGGATCCCACTGTAGAGCACAGGGAGGCATGTTCCATACCTTGTAATAGCCTGGAGTGAAAAAGAATATGAGAAGGAATATACGTATATACATGCATAACTGAACTGCTGTGCTGCGCACCGGAAACACAAGATCGTAAATCTACTTTGCTTCAATTTAAAAAATACAGTGGAAACAACACCATATATCGAAACAGCAAGCGAAGGACCAGCTCATTTTCAAATGTAGCAAGATACAAGGAAACCAATCAAAGGCCCGCCTTGTGGTTGTGCAGGAGGAAACACTGCTGCGCTTTTTTCTTCAGGCGCGTGCGACTGTTTCTCACGTCTCAGCGCTGGGCTGGCGGTAAGTCCATCCTCAGAGTCAGCCCTGCTCTGTGCACCTGCTAATCTTAATCCCAGGAGGTGATTCACCAAACACACACGAGGAGAGGAATCCACATCAGGAAAGAAGGGACATCCCGTGGGCATCTGGAGAAGAGGGGAGGTCCAGGCGGAGGTGGGGTGGGAGTGGAGGGCGTGTCAGCAGGCAGG